ATTGCTATAATAAACCCCCCCCCCCAATATATAATAATGTCCTGTGCACTGTGGGGCCATTGCTCAAAGAAATGAGTGGCATTTATTTTTAGAAAAGCTAGGCTTGTTCTCTATAATCTACGCATTCTTCCAATAAAAAGGCTGAAATGTCTTTTGTGAGGACAAATCTGTGCAGCTCAACACCGAAAAGCAGGCTGGAAACTTTGCAACGTTAGTCTAATAAGTTAATTCCTCACCTTCTATAATGCGAAGGATAACTTACTGCTTAACCTAAGGCAGAACTATGCACCTAAAGCAGGAAGCTATATTATTAAAGGATATTATTTATTACTTATTATTATTTATTACTATGGGAGCCATTTAATATAGCATGTTGACACTTTTGTGGCATTAATACTGTCTAAAAATGTCCTGGGACAAATTCAAAAAAGCAGTGTGAGAGTTCTAATACTATTACCAGCACATGTGACCAATTCAGGTAGTTCTTAATAATGACACTATTACAATGTGTCATCATGGCTGTGACATTGCCATTTCTGAGATGGCGGTAAATAAGACCAACGTCATTTTGCACTAATTTGTGTCGAGAGTGAGGAGTTTTCTCTCCTCCCGCCACAAGTTAATGGTTGTTAGGATGCTGCAGCTAAAAGCTGCTAGCATCCTAGTTACCAGTGTCACTGGGTCACACAACATCCATTGGTTGATAGGACACCAGTATCCTAGCAACCAATCAGGTTTGGATGTACAGCATCAATGGTTGCTAGGATGCTGGCATCCTTGCAACTAATCGGGCTTGGCCACATTGGTCATTGGGTGATAGGTGGCCGTCAGGCCACCGGCCTCCTAGAAACCAATCAGGCTCAGCAGCTCAAAATCAATGGTTACTCAGGGCTGCTGTAGTTATAGCATTAAATGAAGCTCAGCCACACAACATCCTTGATTCCTGTGCACAAAGGCAGGCTTTGCAACAAATTCATATAGGTATCTAACATGTACGTGAACTTGTTGCATTCGCTGACATTTGCTCTATGGTGGTGCAGACACTCTTCTAAAGAGTATCTGTGCCACTCTTTATGAATTCCAGGGTATGTCTGTTCTGCAAAATTTGATTCCTCCCTTCCTCCTCGCAATCTTCTTTAATTATGCACTTCCTGACATACTGTTCTGGCACATGGCAGATGCAGGAATGAACTAACTCCTCCATGTGCTGAAGTTACAACATCCCACACAGGCCAAAGATCCCACACCTGGAAGTCAGCACCAGCGAGAGAGCTCACAGACATCCTATCGCTAGAGCAGAGGTGAGTATTTACTTTAGTTGCACTTTAATTATATTGTCCAAGGACTAATAACATACACAACGCAACAGCATCCAATCAGAAACCATCTTTCTGAAGTTTAGTGTAATCAAGCTATTTTAAACTAATTTGGTAAGGAGTTAATGTACCTGAGAGATGAATGTCCTATTTTATCAATTCATTCAAACCTTGAATGCACAGTAGGACAGTAGCTATCCAAATTGCATGAAATGCACTTAAATCATGTGTACAAGCCATGGTGTCTTCATGAGCATAATACAAGCAATTACAGGCAACAGGAAATGCTTTTCACACACGAGCCCCAAAGACATCTCAACCTATACTCACAAAACTGCCAAATGCTTTTACTTAGAAAAAAAAGGTTTAAAAAGAGCGTCACTACTCCCAATTGTATCATCCCTTTCCAATATACCCGGAGTACACAATCTTGGCACTCCAGCTTTGATGAAACCACAAATCCCATCATGCTTCTGTCTCTGGGGATCATGCCTGTGGCTGTCATGGTCTTGCAATGCCTAATAAGATTTGCTAGAGTTCCGAGGTTGCCTACCTCTGCCTTATAAACTATACTTATTATGCTGTGAATATTCTAAAGGAATGTGATCATTCAGACACAAAGGAATGTCATGTATGACTGCATAGTAGCAATTACATTAAAAGCTCTCATGATGATTTAATAGCTCAGTTATGCTTCCATATTTACTTGTCATCAAATAAAAAGAGAAATGCAGTGTACACCTCATATAATTGTTGGTAAAGCCTATTATTAGGTGTGATGTAAACAGAGAGCTATGTTGTCTCTTCACTGGAACAGAAGTGGAATTGCCTTTATCACTGTGTTGGCAGATCTAAATCACTATTAGGCTGGCTATAAATGGAGCAAATGTGTGCTATTCCCTGCTGATTCGGCCAACATTTAAGCCATGTGTGGCCCCTCCAAACCGTCCACCCCTTTCGTCTCTGTTCAGCAAAAGTACATTTTTTAAAAGATCTTTGTTGAAGAAGCCGATTCATAAATTCTTGGCTGAACAGCGACTACAGACAATCAAATGCGATCACTGTTCGGGTATTCTGACAGCTGCTGTGTGCCACTGTACTCCAGCAAGGGAATAAACCATGTGGAAGAGTGAAGCAAGTGTTTTCTCTCTGAATGCAAAAAATTGAAAATTCTATCATACTTACCCATAATATTCCTTTACTGATGCTAATCCCTGGCAGCATACTACCACAAATATGCTGTCATGTTGGCACCCGGAAACCAGAAAATTGTATAATACTTACCCGTAATTTGCCTTTCCTGGTGTTAATTCATGGCAGCATACATGTGGCAGTATGATGCTATGTTGGCTCCAGGAAAACAGAAAATGCTATCACACAGTGGGTGTAAGATTACACCTTGCTTGACTTCATCTTGTTTTGAGTTTTATCATACTATGCATTAACTTTTGCTTCAAGATTCACCAACTTTTACCTGCATGAGGTTTTGAACTATTCCAAAGGAAAACCAAGCTTTCTACATTCCAGTAAGGTGTCCTTGGGGATGGGCTTTGAGAGAGAAGAAGGCCTTAGAGCAGCGGTTCTCAACCTGGGGGTCGAATGACAATTTGCCAGGGGTCGCCGCGAGTCTCCCACTATTAGATAGCGGCTCCCGGCCGCCCAGGGGGAGTAAACCTTTCGCTGCGATAGGTTTTTATTTCTGACATCGGAGCCCCGGCCACGGTAAGTCAGAAAAAAAAGAAATCAGCATTGGAATGCATAGCTAGATTCCTATTGGCTATTTCACTTTGCAATAGCAAACTAGCTATTGCACCCGCCCACTGCTGCTGTCAATCAGCAGAGGGGGACCTGCAGTTCTCCATCAGGTCCCCATCTAGTGATTATCATCATTATTATTAATAAAAAAAGCTGACACCCTCGGCTTGCGTTATATGGTTTGCCATTTTAGCTGTTACAATAGCGGTTCTCAACCTGCGGGTCGCTGTGTGATTTCTGCTGTGCTCGATGAGAGTCCTCCTCAGCCCTCTCCTAGCGCAGCAGTGTCAGTTCTCCCGCCACGCATCCAGATGTCGCTGCAATAGCCGCGTCAACCCCAAATTTTACCGTTGGGAGTCACCACAACTTGGCAAATGTTACCAAGGGGTCCCGGCCCTAGAAAGGTTGAGAACCACTGCCTTAGAGTAGGGTGGAAGTGTGGAATACGTGTTGTCATTCTTGTCTCTTATCTGCACCTGTTCATTGAGTACTTTGCCTAAGGCAATGCTGTCCTAGTCTTTGTCCAAACAAGGGTCACTTTTCCTGTTTTAAGAATTCCTAGTGTCCAGATAATGATGGCACCTAAATCATGTACTGATAATTAATCCTAAATCTAAGCTGCAAACAAGTCACATATACCTTCATGTTCCCTGGGGACGGTCAACGCCCCTTGTATTCTGTTAAACTATAAATTGTGAGTGTAAGAACTATTTAGCAGAGTACTCTTGTATCTCTCCAATATTGCTATATGGTCAATAAATGTACCTATTCATAAAAGAACTCAAAGTCTCGTCCTGGGTTGACAACGAAAGTTCTGACCCATAATTTGTCTTTCCTGGTGCCAATCCATGGCAGTATACATGTGGTAGTATGCCCCAATTTTGGTGCCAGGAAAGACAAATTGACAAAAACACCTTTATGAATGTATAGTTGACCTACTTGTGCATGTAAGATGGTAGCTCATCTGGAAATAATAATTATGGTTTAATCCTTCAAAACAAAGCTAAGGTTGTCTATGGAATCCTCTATAGGAAGCAGTTTTTTATGCATTGTCTAAAGTGATAAATAACTCACTATAGTAGAAGTCCTCTTATACAGACCTTATTTGATGTAATAAAATTCATATATTTAGCGTATGTTCACATATGCCTGCATGCTAAAATGTTCCCTTTTAGTCACCTGGTGTCCATCCTGTGCCAGTGTTAGGGGGGATTTTGTTCAGTCTTATTAAAATGTTAAACTGACATTTCCTTCACATCTACTGTAGTGGAGCTGTGGTGCTGTTGCTTGCACTGCGACCCAGCTAAAGCCAGCGTTGCAGTGTGAACTGGGCACAATTGTTTTCTATGTGCCCTTTGTGGTGACTGGCAGTGATTCAGTGCGGATTGTGTGCACGCACCCTGAAGGACAACAGTTATAAGTTTTGTAAATGTCTTTTTCGCAGTCACAGACAAGGAATAAAAATCCACAAGCTACAGCACTTACTGTATTGTAAAACTCAGCAATAGTGGGGACGATTTTGTAGTTGTCTTCACACCAGTCCACCTCGGAGCTGCCAGCCTGCAGATGGTCCCATATCTTCAAAGATGCCATCACTGATGTACTTCTCTGTAGACAAGTTACCCGTCAGCTTTGTTGCACAGATCTGAAAGGAACGGAATAAAAATTATAATCTTATTATAATAATCCTCCAATCAAGCATGCTGTTCTCCAGACCTGTGTGCCCCACATTCAGTAAGTTCTATATACTATGTAGTTAGGATTCACTGATACCAATACCAGGATTGGTAACAGTGCTATTACTGGGCATTTTCAGCAGTACTCGTGAAAATGCCCCAATACTAAGTGACGATAGCAGCGCTTTAATTTTTTTATACATTCAGCTGCCGTAAGGTCCTGCACTTGCTGGGGACATCATTGCACTGCTTACAGCGCCAGCCGCAGGTCTTCTTTCCGCCACCCGCACAGCACTGGGGAGACCCGGCACATCCTTCAGAGACCGCGCACAGCCCTGGTCAGTAGTAGAAATATGTAGCTTCATATTATTCTGCATTGTTGTATGGTGTATCTATGGGCAGCTTTAGCATCTTGCCACCACATGTACTTGAAGGAATGCACCAATACCATTTTTTCAAGACCGAGTACAAGTACCAAAATTTTCCTCAAGTACTCGCCGATGCCAATTACTGATACCTTTGTGCTAGTGTCTAGCTCCATGCTGATTGGCTGGGATGCTGACTTCCCGGCCAATCAGCATCGAGCCAGCCAAACAGCATCGAGACGGTTTCTCGGACTGTTTTGTTTGTTTTGGAAAAATTGTACATATTATACTGTGCATGTGCTAGGCAGAATCCAGAATTAGAACTTTCATGCTCAAGAACATTTGTTCTTTTAAACACTTATGTATGGTAGGGGTAAGCAACCTGGACACTCCAGCTGTGGTGAAACTACAAATCTCAACATGCTTCTGTGAGTCATGACTGTGGCTGCCAAAGTCTTTTGGGGATAGAGAAGTCTTGTTTTTTTCTAATTATTATGGGACTTGTAGTTCCACAACAGCTGTAGTACCAAGAGTCATCCTTGCTCTATGATATAGGAATGAACAATGCAAAGGTCTCTGTGCATACAAAATATGACTGATAAGTAGATTCTAGAATACTTTAATATATGTAGGCCAGGGGTGGGCAACTCTGCCCCTCTAGCTGTGCTATAACAACAAGTCTCAACATGCCTCTGCCTCTGGAAGTCATGCCAATAACTGTGAGTGTTGTAATGCCTCATGGGATTTGTAGTTCCATGACAGCTGGAGGGCCGTAGTTGCCCACCCCTGATGGATTTGTCCACTCGCCTTCTTCATCTATGCAATCTGATTGGTTGCCATGTACAGCTGCTCCAGATTCTGACTCTAGTCTTCAGTAAATTGCCCTCAATGTACATATAAATCTACTTCTAAACATGCACTATACGTACAAATGGATATACACTTTACATTATTCTTTCACTGATTTCATAAGCATATAAAATAGACCTGTTTGGTATGCCTGGGACAATTCAAGTAGCATGACCGATTAAATTTTTTAAGAAGAATTCCGGGGGAAAACTTGCATAAACCCTACATTTGCAGTGGTGCTCATTTTGTATAGGGGTTTAATCCAGTAGATTTACTTACCTGATCCTCGGTCCCCTGGAGGTTAGAACTTACCTCTCTCTCCCCCTCTGCCATGGAATGTCCCTCGGCATCCTCACGTCTAATGGGCCTGCATAAGATGTGATGATGTCAGTGGTCCTTAGACTGCCGGAGTCCAGGGGAAAGAGGCTGCGGGACCGATCGAGCAGACCAGAGGGACCGAGGATCAGGTGAGTATATCTGCTTCTTTATTTGACTTGCCGTAGAGCAGAACAAGCACTTAACCCTTGCAGTGCTGGGGTAGTCCTACTACAAGGGTAAGTTTTTTTTTTATTTGCCTAGAGTTCTTCTTTAAAGGGCTTTCAGATGATATTAGTTGATGGCAAAATGGGTCGATTGTTCAGAATTTTGTTCGATGGTCATTCTAACCATTTGTGGTCAGATTAGGACAGAAGCTGAGCTCAGTATCAGGTCGGATAGTGAAATAGGAGCCATCTGTCATTATGATCACATTGGTCGTGCTACCTGCTGATGATGATGATCTTCTTTCTTGCTGATCGCGTTCCTCCAGAAAGTGTCTGCTTATGTAAACAGCAAGGCGATGTTATGGCTTCTTCTCCATACACAGGATACGGGAACTCGGGGAAATGTGGAGTAAGCAGAGCCGGTTACACAACACACAACAGCCAGTGTCTCCTCTTATTGTTCCCCGGCCATCTGCTTGTTCTTGGAAGTGCTGATAATAATTGAAGCCGTCCATTAACTGGATGCAGCCCCGCCCCGGGGGAGGGGCCGGGCCGGCACATGAACTGTACAGGCCCCGCCCACTCTAGGCTCCGGCTTGTTTACATGATCAGTGAGAAGCAGGGTATTGGACAGCGAGCCTGGATTATGATGTCTGCCAATCACATGGCCACCTCTGTATAATCATTCCCTCTTATCCCTTGTCACTCAGTAGGATGACTGCTCCGATCCTCTATAATAGACATGTAAGAAAGAGAAAAGTGTAGGGATCCGCACTAAGGTGACATGCTGCTTACATGTTGAATGGTCCTGTTTTTAGATGTGTGGTATGTCTTGTATATGCTATTTTTTTGTTAATTATGGAACTATGTTATTAAATATGAATTTTACTATACAAGAATGAGTTATGTGACATTATGTCTAACCGCATTGTTCATGAGTCACCTATAAAGCCCCGTCTTTCTCTTTTCTTTTTGTATTTTTTTTATAATAGACATGGAGAAGAGATAGCATCGGGGCTGATCAATCTTTTGGGGATAGAGAAGTCTTGTTTTTTCTAATTATTATTATACAGGATTTATATAGTGTTCACAGTGAGTATAGAGCTAATGTAGAGGTGCTCTAGTATGCAAAAGACATTTAAAGAACTGCAGGATTTTTTCAAAGTAACCCTTGCAGTGGGGCTACCCCCGCACTGCAAGGGTTAACTGCTCATTTTGGTCTAGGGGCGCATATAATACTCACCTGATCCTTGGTCCCATCTGGCTGCTACGCTGGTCCCCACTGCCTCATCTTCACTGGGCTCCAGCTGTCTAAGGACCTCTGACGTCATTACATCTAATACAAGTCTATTAGACATGAGGAGGCCAAGGGGCATACCACAATCAGGGTACCCCAGCACTGCAAGGGTTAACTGCTCATTTGTTGTCTACGGTCAAAAATAACAAAGTTATGCTTACCCGATCCTCGGAGACAGCCGGCTGTGACAGTGCTGTGACAGTGTGACAGGAGAGACACAAGGTAAGTCAATGCAGGCAGCCTGGCAGCGTGCACCTGCACAGACTCTGTGGGACAGGAAGTGCCAGTTAAGGGAGAGGAGTCAGCGCTGGATCAGAGACCGGCACCAGCGCTGGAGGGACATCTGAAAACTACAGGAAAGAGGAGGATGATTGGATCAAGAGGCATCATTTAAGGTAAGTCCTTACACTAACATTGCGGGGGGGAATTATTGTCACTTTAACTCTTGCAGTGTGGGGGTAGCCCCATTGCAAGGGATACAAAATGTTTTACCTGCTGTAATCAAGATTATGCTGCCAATAATCTTTTATAAATGATTAGAAATAGCAATAAACACAAGTAACCCAGTTTCCTCAATGTGGGCTTCACAACTAATGAAAAGATGTAAGATATGTTTTAGGGTCCCCCCTTACATTTATGTATTTTACAATGACAAGTGTTGGAGACACCCTGCATGCAGTTGGAGTGGGCGATGATACTGGAATGAGGGACACGTGACACACAGGACACGTAGGGAGGCCTCTAGGGTGGTGATCACAGGGGGAAGTACACATGTAGAACAGCACAAGAGCTGGCCTGGAAGGATCCTGCAGACTATGGACGCAAAGATTTAGTTCTGTCAAACTGTAGTATGCAGTCAAGGGGCAGATGGCCGGCTACTTCATGACTCTGCCAGATTTTCTTCTCCACATTAGAGCAGTGGACCAGTCATAAGCAATTATTATAACAGTCACACGTGAAACAGAGATTTACATCATTCACCTCTGTGTACTGTGCCATGCAGTAGTCCTGCAGAGACAATCACGGGCATTGAGCAGCTGCATTGTCATATTGTAACACTGAGTGTATATAATTCTGCCTGAGAGTTCTTTAAAGAAGAGGTAAACCTGTACTGGATGACATTTAGTTTGCTAAAGCAATCTGAATCATAAACAATGTTTTTGTTTCATCATATGTTTTTATTTGCATCTCAATGCTGCTGATCTCCTCCAGCCTTTTTCACCCACCTCCTGCCCAGATGCACATGTTTGAGCATTAGGTGCATATAGTTGTCCAGGGACAGCTTCTGGATAGTGACAATGGTGGACCATGCCTATGCAATGGCAGGGCGACAATGCTGGAGCACAATTGGAAGACAGTTGTCACCCCATAACAGGAAGTGTCTAAAGAATGACTTTCATTAGTTGATGGCAAGATGGGTCGATTGTTCAGAATTTTGTTCGATCGACATTCTAACCATTTGGTAGGACCAACAGGTATTCTTTAAAGAAGAACCCCAGGAAAACTTTGTATTAACCCTTGCAGTGAGACTAACCCCGCACTGCAAGAGTTACGTGCTTGTTTGTATATAGGGGCAAAAAAACCAAAGATATACTCACCTGAAGCTCCGAGCTGGCTGGCTGTGAAATCTCTTTATCCAGCCTGTCTCCCGCTCCGCAGCAGCATTGGAATCTTCCTACGCGTCCTCATGTCTGTACACTGTGTATAGAACCTGACGATTTACGGGACTTTAGACCACTGCAAATGAGGGAGAGAGAGGCTGGAAGGATCGGTCTAAGAACAAGCCTGCTCTGAGGATTAGTATAACTTTTTTTTTTTCTAGACCAAAATGAGCAGTTAACCCTTGCAGTGCGGGGTAGCCCCACTGCAAGGGTTCATAAAAGATTTTCTGGAGTTCTTTTTTAAATAAAAGTTGCAGATTTTAAAAGATTAAAAACTATTTTTGAAATGATTTCAACATGTAAAAGTTTTGATGAGATTTCCGGGATTGAATTTAAAACTAGTGTAAATCACATGTTTGGTAGTGATAAGATGTCTACTCTTAAATTGCTGCAAGTTATTGCCCCAAAAAATGAAAATATGCAAACACATACATTTGAGCTGGCTAATGACTAGTTTTCAGGATATCAGATATGGTATATTGTAGCCTTATGAAGGAGGTCTTGCTCTTGGAAAAGAGCTTAGGCCTTTTTCACATGTTCATTCCGATTAGGGTTGCCACCTGTCCAGGATTCACCCGTGACAGTCTGGATTTTGAATGATGTGTCTGGGTTTCATGGCAGCAGAAACCAGGACACAAGATGTCAGGCAGACAGGGGCAACCAAAATTAAGATAGGGGCTACTGGCCCCCCCACTGAAAATACTTAGGTGAGGGGCCAGTAGCCCCTATCTTAATTTTGGTTGCCCCTGTCTGCCTGATATCTTGTCATAGTTTATATAAGTGGTCTATTTTGAACAAATTATTGCATACAGTTAAGAAAAGGAGATTGTTTAGTTGGTGGTGGGGTCATCTTGATTCCGCTCTCCCGATCCTCCAAGTGCCTCCCTCACTTCGCAAACCAACCCTGCATGGTGAGTCTTCAATGACCAGATCCATGGCGATTAACTGTATGCAATAATTTGTTCAAAATAGACCACTTATATAAACCTGCTATTGCCTAATTATATAGATGTATGTGATTCTAACCTAATGTATGTCTAAACAAAGTAATTTCTTAATTGTCAGATCCACTTTGGGTCCCCTGATGAAGCCACTGGCGAAACGCGTCGAGACCTGTTAAGCTAAGCCATGATAGGGGCTACTATATTTTTGTTTATTCTGTGATTAATATCATGTTATTTTAAATACCTGAATTGTATCATTATGTATGTACTATACAAGTGACCAAATCTGTACAAACAAATCCCATGCAGGGTTTTGACAAAATGCATTTGATTTTTGATTTTATATAAATTACAAAATACAATTTGATATATATTTTTAGTAATATCACTCTTGGATGGTCAATTACACCCCTCCAGAAACCCTATTATTTTCTACTTTTTTTCCCTAAACGCAACCCTAATTATGATAAGGTCTGTATGTCAGTTTTCCAGGCGGATCTGATTGGAAACCCAATGTTAGTCTATGGGCAGCTGGATCTAAATGGACGTTCATTTACATCTGGTTCCCCCTGTCTCTGGCCAGGTCCAGAAAAAAAAACAGATTTAACACACCTAATTGTGCTGGATCGGGAGTAATCAGGGTCTGACAAGTTCAGTCTTTTTCCTGCATCACAAGAAGGAAGAAAAAAACTGGATGGACACAGATGTCACAACAGTGACATCTGTTCCGAACAGCAGGTGCATTGCCATGCATTGCTAAAATGCACATTAACACACATTATACACAACCGTATTTGCGCCCCTGAATGGAGTTAAAGGAATGAGTTACAATGGTAGAAAAATGGTAGACACTGAAAACTGCTTTAAAAAGAATGAAGCTAACCTTTCAGGAAGTGACAGTTAAAACATGCTGTGGGCTGCAAAATTACAGAGTGAGAGACTCACAACTTCTATTTTAATATATAAAACAGAAGTTGTGAGTCTCTCACTCTGTAATGATTTAGCTTTGTCAGCTTTAAATGCATGTAAACAGCTGTAATACCACTTTTGTGTCCCTGACATCCAAAATATCACACATGATAAGAAGCATAACTTCTATACATGGGTGGAGACTGTTGTAATGAATGTATTTTTTTTTTAAAAGAAGAACTTTAAGCAAAGATCTTAGCCTTAAGTGCTAGTTTTGTCTAGGGAGCTAAAATAGCAGAGCTACAGTATTATGAATAACCTGATTATTATAACCAAAATATTATATTCTGGTCTTGTATACAGAGTATTATAAAATGAACACATTCTGGCAATGAATACAAAATATTACAGTAAACTCCCCTTTATCCGGCATCCACGGGGATTGGTAGATTCCGGATCAATGTCGTTTCTGGTTGCTTGAGAGTTACTATTAAAAATAGGTCTAGCTAATGCCATACCCCATACTATACGGCCTAGGGATCCTAGGCTGGTCCCTTCAGCCTGTCTCCTCCTCCGCTCTGATGGTCTAAGGTCCAGTGAATCCTCACATCTTATACAGTATATAGGACGTGAGGATGCCGAGAGACATTCCATTGCTGGAGTGGGGGAGGGAGGGGGCTGCAGAGAGCTTCTAGCTAGACTTGTGCGCCGTCACTAATTTCGATTCGTAACGAAACGAATCGCACATGTCTACTTCT